TGGTACTAAAGTGATAACTTTTTAACAACAACTGTCACTGAAGTGATCACTTTTAAAAAAAATCGACACTAAAACGATCAATATTTACAACTTTTAAACGACGTCGTTTAGGGGCTATATGCTGATTGGACACGCCGGCGAGCCACGTAGGACTGAGAAATTAATAAAATATAGCCACGTCGGATTTTCGACGATCCAGATCGGAGTTGGCATTTAAGTGATCGTTTTTTTTTTGAAAAAGTGGCACTTAAGTGATCCGAAAAAAACTTTTGGCGCTAAAGTGAGCGTTGTACGTAACTTTTGACACTTCTACTGTCCTTTTTCCTCCATAATGGCCTTGTGCTTACCGGGAAGAAGTTCTACGGGATTATTCTAAAGCATACGAATCTAATAAAAAAGCCATCCAGCAAGCGCCGGAAGAATATAGAAGAAATCTGCCAATCCCTATGGAATTTTCTCAAGACTCTTGGGACCATGGAGTACTACCCTTCGGCTCATGAATTTGAACAACTAGCCACAACTAAGTCTCAATCAGCCAAGACCTAGCTCAAGCATTCACCAACCATATCCCCATCAGGGACTAAGCACTAACTAAAGAATCTATATTCTAGCTAAGAGGATAGAGACCCTAATCACGTATTATTTGTTAGCTATTAAAAGGTATAAGCTTTAATGAAGCTATTTGTTCGCTAGTAATGTGTTATTGTACTTAGTGGCCAAAGTAATTGGTAATGTTGTCCTTCATTCTATAATATTTGTATTATTATCCTGTTGGAGATACATCCCCATAAATTTTGATGATTTCAAAACTATACTTGATGTAATATATACTATGTAAGTATAGATTTTCGTGATGATATCTAAAGGACTATGATGATAACCATGATTACTATAGAGCTTAGCGTAAGCCAGCTGGAATGATGGAGATCTTGATAATATATGGACAAATTAAACAAGATTTTGTGATCATAAGAATTTGGAGGAAACTTGGTCGATCTCTTATCATCATGATGTTTTTGGTAGCTAATTTGCTCAGTAATTTCATTGGAAATCAAATCGCAAGTAATTTTTATACAACTTTTTTGTAAACAGCATCAACTGGCTAGTGCTGATTTGGACATGTTGATTATAAGTAATGGTCGTGCAAATATCAAGTCATTAGTGGTGTTGTAATATTTGTCTGAAGACGATTGCTAGAGACAAAGAATATAGCCATTGATAACTAGAAAAGCACATCATAAGAACCGGGAATCGTCAAAGAACTAAAAACAGCTTTTGTGAGAACAGTCAGAATATTCGGCAATGTGACAGAAGTAGCAGAGACTATTTTGGGAAACTTTGCTTAAGTTTGCGGAAAAAAAAGGTTAGGATTAATATAGCGAAAAACCCCAAACTGGTACGTTTGTAACAATTTTACTCAAAACTAATTTTTTGACCATAAAAAATTTCAAATTGGTACACCTGTGATAAATTTACCCTCAGTTTATTTCCGTTAAATTTTACTATCAAATTGCTTTGTTAAATGACACACGGCAATTAACAGATGTACAAATTTTATGTTTTACTCTCCGTTTGTCATAGGGATACTAGTTTATGATTTTTGTGGTATTAATTCAATTTAGTGGAAACTAACGGAGGGTAAATTTGTCATAAATATACCATATCAGGATTTTTGGTGGTTAAAAAATTAGTTTTAGATAAATTTGTCACATGTGTACAAATTTGGAGTTTTTCATGGTCAAAAAATTAATTTTGGGTAAAATTGTCACATGTGTACAAGTTTGGGATTTTTCGTGGTATTAACCCAAAAAGTTATATGGGCAATACAATTTCAGAACAGAAATTTCCGACAACTCCTAACAGCTCTTTACTTCTCAAGACCATCTCCAACGGGAATGAAGATGTTTTTATAAGAGAGGATCATTGAAGCTGAAAGGGTTGGACGGAAATAGAGAAAACTAATAATGTTCATTGCCGTATTCTTATTGATCAAAATTGTGATCCTTTCATCTAATATTCCCATGGTAGTATTCTTGCTGCATTACAATTGTGAGAAGATTAAGGCTGCGCATGACAACTTGCCAAACAGTGTTTGATTCTGTTCTTTTGTTCCCAGAATCAGTTTGGGAACAGAAATGCGTTTGTTTAATTTTTTGATTCTGGGCACAATTTTGTCAAAAATTGTTCCCAGAATCAGTTTTCAAGAATAAAAAAAAAGTAGCTTCTTGATTCTTGGAACAATTTTGAGAATCAATTTTTTTTTCTTCCTTTTCTTGATTTTTAATGTAGCTTCTAATGTCCGGCCCGAGGACTGCCCTCGCCGAATCTGACGAGATTAAAATATTTTAATAAAAAATATTATTAATAAAAAATATTATTAAAATAAAAAATATTTTACAGGCCATGGCCGGCGACCAGGCCATGGCAAAAAAAAAGAAAAAAATATATTTTTAATAAAAATATTTTAATAAAAAATATTATTAATAAAAAAATATTTTACCTGCCATGGCCGGTGACCAGGCCATGGCAAAAAAAGAAAAAATATATATTTTTAATAAAAAATATTATTAATAAAAATATTATAAAAAAATATTTTACCGGCCATGGCCAGCGACCAGGCCATGGCAAAAATAAAAATAAAAAATATTTTTAATAAAAAATATTATTATTAAAAAAAATATTTTACAGGCCATGGCCGGCGATCAGGCCATGGCCAAAAAAAAGAAAAAAATATATTTTTAATAAAAAAATATTTTACCAGCCATGGCCGGCGACCAGGTCATGGCCAAAAAAAATAAGAATATATATTTTTAATAAAAAGTATTATTAATAAAAAATATTTTATCGGCCATGGCCCAAAAAAATAAAAATGTATATTTTTTTAAAAAATATTTTAATAAAAAATATTTTATCGGCCATGGCAAAAAAAAATAAAAATATATATTTTTAATAAAAATATTTGAATAAAAAATATTATTAATAAAAAAAATATTTTACCGGTCATGGCCGGTGACCAGGCCATGGCCAACAAAAGAAAAAATACTTTTAATAAAATATTATTAATAAAAAAATATTTTACCGGTCATGGCCGGCGAGCAGGCCATGGCCAAGAAGGAGGAAAAGAAAAAAAAGAAAGAAATATAAAAATATTATTAATAAAAAGAAATTTTGTGGCGTTACAAAACGCATTTCTGTTCTTTTTCTATTCCAGGGATGGAATTTTGGGCCGTTAACAAACGCCTTAAAATGCTCAGAATCAATTCCGGGCACAGAATAAAAAAGAATCATTTCTCAGCAGAATCTGTGCCCGGGCACAGAATCGTTGTCATGCGCAGCCTAAGTGTACAAGTGCAATAGCAGTACTTGAGTCATGATAATAGGATCTATCATTTGATAGTATCAATACTTATTGATTGTAACTTATCTTGGTGTAAATTATCTTGGTGATTACTAATTCATTCTAGCCTAGCGGCCGTTAGTCTAGAGAGTGGACGTAAGCTTGAAGATAAAGCCAATTCACTATAACTTTTTGTGCGCTATCTTTTACGTGCTCAATATCATCCATATCTTATTGATAGCATCTTGCGTAACTGTCATTATCTGCATAAGCTGATCTCTAGCATTAGCACTTGATATTTATCCAGTTTGTTATTTGACATTATCATCTTCGTTGCACTAATAGCTTCACTTGATCTAGCTACTGCTTGCCTCTCCTAATTTTCAAGAATTGATTGTTTATTTCTGCAAGATTTCTCAAAATTGTCAAAACAACCTATTTAGCCCCTTCTACGTTGCTTAGTTAACCCCTACATATCCCTCTTCTTTAAAAGTTTGTATTGTTGTCCTTCTATTTGCATAGTGCATATTATTGAGTCATGTTGTAATAGTCTGTAATACCCTCAACCGTCACTATAAAAGCTTTACTTCTGCCAGAATTTAAATAAGAGTTAGGAAGTGTTTGGGTCTGTATACACTCTTCCATGGCCAACTAAACGCTTGTCTCTTTTCTCAAAGCCTGACGGCCTTTGAAAGTAAAGAATTATACTGTTAGTCCAATCAGGTTTTACTAGTATGCTCTTAACTTGCAACTATGTAGATCAGAAAGTTTGAGGCATGAGTGCATTATGGTATATATTACGTTATCAAAAGATAAAAAGTCAGTCCCTTTGGAAGGCCGAGAGAAGGTGTTGTGGGATAACATTCCTATCTTAGATTTCTATTAGTATTTATCATAACCACCACAATTGTTTGGCAGCGGGAACTTACTTGATTTTGCAAGTATGCTCTCTACTTGCCACTCTATGCATCCTATGGATCATAATGTTTCCGAGGCCATTGAGGTTTATGACATAGATTAAAAGCATCCGGAGACCAAAGGGCAATCCCCTTAAAAGGCCAAGAAAAGCATCGTGTTGCGGACAGCATACCTGTGTCATATTTCCATTAGCCTTTATCATAGTGTTGCGGACAGCATACCTGTGTCATATTTCCATTAGCCTTTATCATAACTTTACATAATTCATCTTAGATGGTGGAGTTGGTCTTCGCGATGACTCTCCAAGGGGTCTCCGGCATTACGACAAGGTGGGGGTGGAGGATGCAACCCCGCCCCCTCGGCCTGCTCCATCATCAATTTTAGTTACATATTGAGACCAGATGTACGGGTGTTCCACATTCATTAATTGGTTTCTTCCAATAGTGGTCAACAGTAATGAAACGTGAGGACATAGATGACGAAGCAAAGATACTTGAGCTTTCCTGTGTGCATGGTTTCTCCCAGTACCATACGAATCATCTTTTCTATCAAGATGACTTTGGCACTGAATTCCACCACACCTGAATTCCCAATTCCCTATTAAGTACGAACTTCACAAACTTATATTGATCGACCTCAGCCATGAGTGAATCATCACCCATTCAGTCTCAGAAGAGTTTTTGGACAAGATGATATTGCCTAAGCATACCAGTTATCGACCCAGCAATGCCATAACAGAGAGTGATAGTTGCTAAGCGTGGCTAAAGATCACACATTTTTAAGTCATAAGAGACATTTTGTTAACCATTCTTGCATGAGTTCAATTACACAGCATGTAAAATCACAATGGCTTCCCCCTTTTTTAGGGGAATTAAAGAGTTGCAAAGGATGCGATGTACACAAAGAAACAACATGAGCGCAGCAGCAAGTGATCACCTAATGTCGTAGCAAGCACGACATTCAGTTCACCTCAATCAGTCGCATAATATTGCCCGGGAGAATTGTCCATGAGAGCGAATTGCATGTTCTCCGAGGGTTTCCAATGACGCTTCCTCTGATTTATGAACCAATTGTTTATTTGCTTCTGGTCGAGGCCAGTGGTTTTGGCCAGCGCAATCTTGTCGGCTTCCTGAGTCAAAGTCCAAGAAAGGAGAGCATTAGGATCAACGACATTCAACTCAACAGAGATTTGAAGTGTAATCCCGAGTATCGAACAAAGAAAAATGGAATTGATGTCGCATATTCATATCATAGCATAGCAAAAACAAGTAACGAATCAACAGATCTTTTGACTAGGTTATTTGTAAGTTGGACATAAGCATAAGTTTGAATATTGGGGGTTACCGTCGGGTAAGGCCACTTATTGTGGACGTTCCACCACTCGAGCAGTGTTTGCCTTGCCTCCTTTGGTAACTTCCCTTTCTTCTTCTTTTTTGAGAATTCCAGCTTCAACGTGCTAATATGACTCCCAAACTTGCGCAAGAGTCTGTCCTTGAGATCTCTGTCTTCGTCCCTTAGTTGAGTCTCAGGTGCCTCCACTTCCCCGCCGCTGAAGTCCTCATCCGATGAGGCATCACCTTCATTTGCTAAACAATCGCCCGGACAAATCTCAGTAGCTGTGGTCATAATGATTATCCCAAATGAATGAACTCACTATGCACTACCGGAAACCAAAATATGTAGAAAGTGTAACTAACCTCATTGGATACGAACTAAATTTATTCGATAAGGATCAAAAACCAAGACAAGCATTGCACCATACATTGCATCAAACAAGACCATCAGTCCTTAGTGATGTCAATGCAACAGGTGACCCAAAATTCTAAACGTGGAGATGAAATAAAATACACCATGACTTGCGTTGATTGACTTGGCAATCCGTTTTATCATTAGGAATTACAATTTTAAGTTGTTGGGTCAAATACTTGTTCCCTCTCCCCTAGAGGGGGTAACTTGTGTATATTACACAGCGTGGCACAAAGTATGTCTTACAAATATGGTATTAAGAGCTTGGAAGTTCGTGTGACATTGCCAAGTTAATGTATAGAAACCAGGGCAAAATTGTGAGCTCATTCGTGTCTTATTAGCAGGAACGAGCCAACACAAACCAGACACCATCGATAGTGTAATATGAGTGTCCTAATGCCATCCTAGTACTAAATCCACAAGTCAAGCTACGTTCTCATTAGCAGCTTGAACAAACACAAATCCAACAGCCTCATATACAGCTGCTAGCATACAGAATAATCTGTAGACCATCTATAGAAGCAAAAAAGATGGAAGAACTTTAAGTTGCTGTGTATGCGCCTTCTTATAAATTATCCGGGGAAAAATCGATCATGTTCACACTTCGTTAAATTACATTGCATGTCATCATTTCCAGAAACTTCCAAACGGGAAAGCGAAACAACAACGCTTGCGATGTAAAAGCTCTCCAACAAATCTAAATCTCATTCGTGCCATTTCACCCTTTTGTCACTTGAGTAATCCTTAACCCCTACAATAGAACCTGAGATCCCAAGCACCTTTTTGATACATGACCATAGCCATTAATAATTTGTGGAAGATGCTGCATTTCACACGTGATTTAGTCAGACAAGTAGTACACACTACATAGATGTTGGTAGTATCTCTTCTGCACAGTACGTGCCATATTGAGCATTCTGTTCTTAAAAAAAAGTGAAAAAGAAGAAGTGCCATATTGAGCTTTTGGACAGAAAAAGAGTACCAAAACAAAGCAAAGTACCAAGCTTTGCGATACTAAAAGATCATGGGCCAGGGCCCAGATCCAGAAAGCCTCCACTCATGGTGGGGGCACTCGTGAACTATACCTTCGACAGTGTCGGCCACCACAATAAGAAAAGCAGGGCGTTCCCGCCAATCGAGGATGAGCACCTGCTCACCGTGATGCACAATAGAAATCCGATACTTTCATTTCAAGAGATACCGAACAGAGCGAGGGAGTCCGAATCTGAGCTCTATTGAAACATCAAGTCGGACCCGGCGTGCATCAATAATCATGCATATTTGAATTTGATTGATCTCACTTGAAGTATAATCAACCACTATATATATGTATATACAGAATACACACACCCTACTGTCAAAAGGACAGAAAAAAGGGGAAATGAAAACGTGGAGACAAAAGCCTCAGTGAAAGGTTGTGTCAAACGTCCAGTCCAGAGTGTGAGAGAGTGTGTGGAGGGAGACAAGGCGGTACGGGCGTCAAATCAGTCATATCTCGGCAGGGAGAGGGGGGATGTGGGGAGATGAGATATCCCCGCAAGGCACGGCCTTTCACTTCTTTGCTTTAGCTTCTTTTCCATCCCTATGTGGACCCACTCTATTAAGTTTTAAGAGCTTAGCGTGGGGCCCAATTTGGCCCAGTATGACCTTGACCCTGCCCAACTACACTGAGAAACAACTCAAAGGGTTGGACTTTGACTATAATCTGTGTATTAGCAACTTGCCTGTTGTGAATGGACTGCAATTTCACCATACGTAGTATCAATCACCGTAAAATAACTAAACAACCACCACAACCATCACCGCTCACCACTGGCATGACGCCGACATCTCCGCTGCCAAAGCTCACTCACTCTCTCTCTCAATGGAGAGAGGCGCAACGCATGACTCGAGCGGGCAATGGGTTGACGCTGCAAGCCAGTGGCACTACGATGCCGAGTGGCTTGGTGAATCCACCAAGGGAAGAAAGGCAGCTAAAGAAGAGGAAAGGAAAGAGGACAAAGAAGTAGATTGATAAAAAGATAAACGAAAACAGAACTCAATTATTGAGTGCTCAATTGTTGACATGTGTTTTCTCCTAAAGATCTAATGTCATCTTATCCAAACAATTGCAAAAAATTAAAATAAAAATCTAATTACAAGGGTTAAATGACTTAGAACGAAAATTCACTCACGAATTTGTTTTCAGTAAAACCAAACAAAGCCTTAAGGCTAAGGTGATTGAGAAGACCGCCTATTTCATTATAACGAAGAACCCAACTTTATATAACTGAATCCCTCATCCATAAAATACCCCATTAACAGTCGAACACAATGCATGTCCAATTCTAAATGAATAGCCAAAAAAAATTAAATTATTCGTTCTTAGTTGTGTCACAACCTAATCAACATATAAGTCCGTTTCTTAGCCACTAAATCCACGCACGAGATTAGAATAACATCACCATCCTACATTGAGAATAATGAAAACCCTTTGGCTGGGGGTAAATGGTAATATGTTCGTGTCCTATTGTCCAAACCCTAGATTCAAGCCTCCCTCCCTTGTCTCTACGACTTTCATGGGATTTTTGTTCATGCAATAGTTTTGAAGTTCTTCAATGACCTTTATCGAATGGTGCCAACTTACACTCTCCATGGGCATCGCCAAGCCACGTGACTTAAGTGGCTGCAATGCCACTGTCAAAGAGGGTTTCAGGTTACGTTTAGCCGCCTACATAGGAAACTAGATAGGATGTGTCCAAGTTGGACATACCACTAGACATATTTCGAATCTTGACCAACAAAAATAAATACATGTTGCGAAAATAATTATCATCCGGAACTTCTCCAAGCACCTTCTCCTAAAAATTCTGAGGCTCGCCTGAAATATCTCTCTCTCTCTCTCTCTCGCAATCACAACTTATAAGAAGCTTGCACTTTAATCCAACCACTACCCATAAAAGGAACTACCTCGATTCATCTATATAGATACATAGTTCTATCCGAGATATCGGAAAGAAGATGCAACCCCTCCTTAAAAAACAATCTCATGCGGTTACTTTACGATGTATTATTTTGAACCGGATAAGTAAACCAATTAAAATGTGAGCTTTTTTTTTTTTTTGAGGAAAACTCACTTTTGCTGAGAAATTATTCACACATACATTCACACATACATACGTACATGTGCGTGTATGTTTTTGTTTCCTACGTGAGGTGAGCATAAGAAGAAGATGTCGGGCTAGGGGGTGTTGTGTTATAGAGGGGGAGGTGGGTCCCGGGGGGAGGGAACACCGAATCCGGAGTTAGGACAGAGACAGAGAGAGAGAGACACGTGTGGTAGGGGCAGTGTATGGGCAGGTGGGGGAGGAGGGGGAGGCTGCAGATCGGTGGGTCCCGCCCGCAGGGAAGACCCGACCGGGCCCTAAAAAAAAAGGCTGGTGGCGGTGGGTGGCGGTGGTGGGTGGTGGGTGGCGGTGGTGGTGGTGGTGGGGCGGCCGAGGGTGGGGGGGAGGAGCGTGGCAGCGGAAACTGCGGGAGTCCATGTGAAAGTCTCGACCACCCGCTCTCCCCGGGGCTTTTTCTCCATTCATTGATGGCAGCGCCCACCTCCCCCCACAATTATTCACTCCTCTGCCCTCCTCTCCCTGCTTCTTGTTCCTTTTTTCCTTTCCATCTCCTACTAATCCCGTCCCGCTCACTTGTATCGAGTAAGATAGAGACCCGCTTGCTAGGCCAACTTCTTGACGGTACTCCTTTACCTCGAATACATCCTTCGACTCCATCGTAGTCCTACTCTTTTCCAAGCTAGTACCCAGACAAAAACAAAATAAAAATCCGTTTGTCTAGATCGTCATGGATCATTGTACTAACTCAACTCACATTTTCGAAGTTTGCCAACTCCAAATTTAAGCTCCGCATGTCCAGACTCGTTCTTACCACTCGGGGGTTATCTACTTTCAAGGTCGGGTTAGGTTAGGTTAGGTATAGGATGAGGCACCGACACCCACCCAGGGATTGATCCAGTAGTGAGGGCATTCCCATGCTTCCAGCTCAAGAGGTTGGGGCCTCGATTCCCGCCTAGAGAACTCATATGTGCAGTATATCATGGTTGTGGGTTGATATGCTAGTTCCCCACCATATAATCAACCAATTACAATCTTGTCATGACCTATTGAACATTGATCTCAAAATTTGGGAACCTACCTTCTTTGAAATTATTTTCGTATAATAAGGGAATAATATGACAGAAAAAAATAACTTTATATTTAGAATTGCAAAAAAAATTATCTCAGAGAGGTGCACGTAAAATTTTGAGAAAAAGCCAAGGAATAATGTCTTAAAATTTTCTCGTTTTTCCTCATAAGAATTTTGCGAAATTCATTTCAAATTTTCCAAACCCACTCTTCAGCTTTCCTCCCCTCCCTCTTCCAAAATAAAACATAAAGGTGTGAGGTATACTTAGTGTATACCTCCCTATCTCTTACAGAACAACCTCCATTGATATGAATACAAGTTGACCCAAGAACCTCACAGCGTGTTTCGAGCCTTAAAACTCACCAGGAGTGGACAGTTTCACCTTTCCAAAGGAAACAAGAATAGACTTGGCTTCCATGTGACACACTAGCCCAAGTTGACCTTGTTCATTGATCATGACCAGAAACTTACAACAACAAAGAGGGAGTATTTCAGTCCCTTCTTGGTTGAATAACTAGATAGAAATATTTGCCTGCTGAAAGGCGGAAAAACGTCGAGAGCTTCTCAACATAAGATCGTATGCAAATGCCAAATAACACGAGCGAACCCTAATTAGAAAATGCAAATACATCCCAAGTGACCACACTCTTAGTGAAGAATGCAAAGACTAACAGTTGGCCTATAGTTGTATGTATGCATTGTGAATCTTAATTAATTACCCCAGCCACTCAAAGGATCAAATCTTACATTCTCTCCCTGACCCGAACAGAAGGAAAGTCTTCAGGTGCTGAAGAAGAGCATGTACTAAAGCTCTTCTAATATGGCCAGGATAAGAATAGAGCGAATGAAGTTGGGATAGGTATATGAACATTACAAGTAGGTTGAACGTAGTAAGAAATCTCGGATGGAATGGGCATCTATCAGGAATATAACGGGGTAGAATACATACTTCCGTCAACCAACATGCAATCCAAGAAAGAGGACATTTATGACACAAGCATGCCTCAACGAACAGGAATTTGGCAAAATGGAGCACTTCTTGCCAATATATCAAAGCAGAAGTCCAGAGGGTGCTAGCTCCTATAGCTTCTATTCTCCAACCTTTGTATTTTTTTTTTGGTGCCCCCTAGTTTTGTTCTCGTATGTAGTGAGAAAGGAAAAGACTACATTAACACAATCTTCGGAGAACTTGTATCATACCCTTCTGTTGAACTATCAATATGTAAAGCATCTTCTAACACAATCTGTCCAATACTACTCAGAGCACATCCATACCGAATTTTGCCAAGCATATTACTCCAACACTGTAAAGCAGCATTAAAAAGCAGAAACTGTGGAACTTGTTGGTCATATATCACTATGAATGCATACAACAACCAGAAATTGACATAATTGCATGCGTAACATACATGCTACATTTGATCCATTTTGTAATTAAGAACTTACTGAAAATCAATGCTGAGACCTTCATCCTTCATTCGACATATTCATTTGACGATCACTAAAGTAACAAGCAAGAATTTTCCCTTCATACTAAGATGCTTGCACATGCACAGCAATCTCACTCAAAGGGGAAAAAACATATTAAACTTGGATACTTCCAAATAAGCCACAAGATCGCTATTTTTTTGTTTTTTTTTTGGCTTGAGAAGATGAGAGAAGTCAATAGAGAACGAGCACTCTCCAAAGAAAAAAATAGTCAACCATGGACAGATGTGCAAAAGATTTTAGAAGAGCCCAGTCAGACGGACAAGTCTCTCATCAGGATTTACCATATGAACATATCTCTGCTTACATGTTACAATTTCTGTCTTCTCAAACTTCATAACTGGGTTTAACTAATGTAAAAGTCTACTTGTGTCTATACCATCAAGGTCTAATCTACATGCGTTTTCATTTCCATCTAACTTTAAGCATCAGAATTACTAAAACTTTATGGTGGATTTTGCAAATTATACAAAAAATGCATTAGAAAGCATATGTGACCATTCACTATTTCTCGCCTGCACATTACCAAACAAGCTTTAATATACAAGTCTTCGCAAGCATTTTGAAAATCTAACACTGCTCTTTGGCAAATACACATACAAGAAAGAAAGGCGGAAAGAATAAATGACATATTTGAATAGCCCTCTTGCACTCTCCTCTCAACCTATGAACTGAATTCTGAGTTTCAAACTGTGACATTAGATACGATTGAGTGAGGCCCACGTTGCTCTCCACCTTAGAAAATCTAGTTAAGATCTCCAACTGGAAGCCGCTTGAGACGCAAAAGAACGCAAAAGAAACGCAAGAGGCCAATGGCAAACATCACTGAAAAGGCAATTGTACTTGCAAGCAATAAACAACAATAGTTGCCAACTATAATCGAGCACATCACCATGATCTACAAACTTTTACCATTTCTTTTTTGTTTGGAGATCATATATACGCATCTCTGCAGTCTTCCAACAAAATAAAATAATAATTGCTCCCACCGTGTCTAAACTAAAGGCTGCTATAACCATATATCAACTTGCACAGCCCCCACAACGTGCATAGTAGAACCAACAGCAGCTTTTTCTCTGGTAGAAATGCTCGAAAGAGAGCACATTTTTTCAGTTTCCATCTATATGTTATACTTACAAAGTACAAAGGAACAACTTAAAATATGCAACGAGTATCATCAAAGATAAAGAAAAAAAGAAAACACTCGCTGTGTCAGTCTACTTCTTTCATTCAAGATTATTACTATTTTAATGGAACAGACAGCAACAGACAGCCATGAAAGCGATCTGTTAAGAACTCCACAAAACCAGAAAAGAAAATGGATGTATCAGAGAGAAGCAAAAAGAGAATGACCACATTGCCGAGCCAAAAACAAGACCCTTTTGGGAAAGCTATGACCGTGATCTATTTTCACGTGCCCTTAAAGATTCTGATGCAAATCGATTTGTTGTGAATGATGAAGATGTAATTTGAAGAATGTCTTGTGATTTTGAATATAAAATATTGAAACTTTGGAAAACAGCACGAAGGGAGCGTTCAATATATATCTTTGAAAAAAAATACAAAAACAAAAGCCACATTGCTGTAGATGACACTGCTGTTAGACAATTTCCAATATACGTGCAATTTGATTTTTTATTTATTTATTAATTCCCCCACCGACTATATGGTTCATGCTTGCATCGGAACTTGAAGTTCTTTTAAAGCCAAGCAGACCAGCATCATTACAGGCCATTGACATCATCTCCTAACAAAAGGCAGGCCCATTTCATTTATTCAATGGGGCATCTCTGAGCTCTAGAGCTTCCACATTTCATTCATGATACATATAGGTAACGCAACAGTGCCATTCTATCTTGGTTGTCAATCTAAAAAATCTAAAAATGGCATCATATGTACCAAAATCAAGTTTCCTTCTTCAGGCATTTCTTTCTTGGTTAAGGTGGTGCTTGAGGATGCATGGCGATATAAGATTGATGCTAACCCAAAACATATGTTCAACAGAAATCCAGTTAGAATGTCACATATATATTAATCTCTTCGGCATCGCTAATCGCAAAAGGTGCATTTGTAGCAATCTTTATAGTACTCACTTGGGTTCTAATAAGGGCATTTAAGATTTGATGTATAAAATTATCCCCTAACTCAATGCACTGCGCATTTGAGGTTAGTGTTAATCCCAGGCTAGTTAATTAGTCGTCAATTAAATAAAAAAGGGACTATAGCGTGTCATCATCTAACCAGAAGATAGTGTAACATGGTTCCTTACTACATTCCCAAAGGCTATTTGGCAATCATATGCTGTGGGTTGCCCAGCAGATTTTTACTGGTATTGTGCTTCCATAAATAGGCAAGCATCCATTTTACTTTCAAACACGAAAAAATAAAAAAATAAAAAAAGGCAACCAGACAGTAGCCCTTACTACAGCATTTCTCAGGAACAAATTCTAAAAAGAGCTTATCTAACAAAAATTGCAAACCACTCCATTGAAACCGCACTGACCAATGTAGAAAGTGGAAACTCAAAAGACAACACAAACCCATAGGAAGTTAAAACGCAAGCAGTTTATCGGAAAGGAACAATCTCAGACCACTGTGATGAAATGAAACTACACAGCCACTATATAGCATGTCCTACTCACATATCTCTGAAGCGTCTCAATCAGAATCTCTAAAAGTCCCCCACACGGAAAAAAAAAAAAAGATTTTTGACTTTCTCCTTATTTCTCTTTTAAATTTCTGACAAAGGAAGAAACAAGACAGAGGCTGAGAAGAGTACTGAAACAACTAAAGAGGACTCAAATACTGTTTTACTTGGTCGGTCAGTGCGATGCCTCTTCACCTCATCGTCATGAGACGATCACATAAGTCATTGCTTAAACAATGAAAAGCTAACAACAAGACACGGACAACAACAAATGACAACCATGTGCCCACATGAAGAAATCGCCCAGAAGAGAAGAAGCAGCAGCAGCGCAAAATCCACAAGGCAACAAGAAACTGAGTGTGAAACAGTTGCTAATCTACGACCACCACCACTTTCGACATTTCCAAGGCTAGGGTTTCGTCGTTCATGCTTCGGCCACTTTAACTGCGTCACTTTCATTAGCAAGCATGTGTTTGAATATGACGTGCAGTTCCTTCATCGGTCTAAGCTTTTAGATTTGACGGTTTCACGCTCGACTTCAAGTAACAGTGCTCGTGCAGGAACAGCAAAAGGATAAGGACTAGGACTGGGGTAGAAAAAAAGGAGGGGGTTAAAAAAATTGGCTTTGCTTCCTTCATCTAGGTCATTGGGCTAATCTGAGCCGGAGATAAAAGCTAACGTGCTCGCCATTGAACATTAATGACTCGCGAGCTTTGTTTACTATTAGGAATGAGCACAAAAGAGAACGGCACAAAAGAGAACGGTTCACACATAACAAGAACATAAAGTGGATCATATCCTAACTATTAACAGCTACAAACAACAAAGATAGAGAGAGAGAGGACTCGTGAGTCATGAAAGCGGTCAACCGAGCGAGAGAGAGAGAGAGAGAGAGAGAGAGAGAGAGAGAGAGTGACCAGAAACGGTGCGCGTGGAAGTGGAGAGATTGGTGAGCTGCATCTCGATGGCGTTGAGGAAGGTGGTGGCTTCGTCGAAAGGCCTCGCGAGGTCGGCTTTGTACTTCACCAATATTTCGATGTACGTCTCCTGCACCAATTCACCTCCATTTTCGCACTACTTTGACATCGTGTGTATCAAAATCAAATGAGAGAGAGATAGGTTGTGTACCATGAACTCGTCGAGCTCAGGATCGGCACCAAGGCACGTGGAAACGGCGGCGTCTCGCTTGCACACGCCGTTCTCTTGCCGGATTTCGTCCAACAACCCCGCCACTTCCGGTGGTGCTCCCACCTGAACAAACCCGGAAAAGAAAAGTCTGAGAAAATGGGAGAATTACTCAGAATCTTGAACTTGAACCTCACAAATGGCTTGGACCAGAAAAAAAACCACTCCTTTCCCACCAAATCACGAGGACTAAAACCCACGAACACCGAATGGTCGGCTCGAAATAGTACTAGCTGAAGACTAGTCAACCCGAATTAAAGGAGGAACTCTCTCTCTCTCTCAGAGACCAAGTGATCGAAATCTAATCCTCGGAATAGAAGGGATGATAACAAATTCTATGTTGATGTTGGTTTCGTATTTGGGTTGCACTCATGAAAGACAACAAAATCGTTCGACGTTATCATCATCGCCGTCATCATCACCTTCTGGCAATCGAGGTAGGCGTGGAGCAAGCGAGGGTACGAAGGGTGGGACTTAATCTTGGACTTGATCGCCGTCTCCGCCGCATCCTCTTGGTCGGGTGTGACCGAGGCGGTCTCGGACATGCCCGACGCCGACGACACGAACTCCTCCGACCCGAACCCGTACATGGGGATTCGATTATCCCTAAACCCGGCCGAGCACAGCCAGGCCTGGTACTCCGACGGCAGCACCAGGTTATCCGGGGACATCAGCGCCCTCTCCGAGTACTCCTCGCCGCCGCCGCCGTAGAGCCCGTACATTTCATCCATGAGAATGAGAGGGGGATCAAACTACGCACCTAGCTTTCTTGATCAAGAAAAGAGGAAAGAAAAAGAGAGAATCAGAGAGAGGGTATATGGAGTGAACACTGATAGCCCACCAAAGATACAAAGAAGATGTCACTTGGTTGATAATTCTTACAAGCGAGAGAAAGGATTTGGGTTTTCAGTTGAATTACAGCATCGAAGAGCCAGAGAGAGAGAGAGAGAGAGAGAGATAGACAGACAGACAGACAGACAGAGAGGAGTGTGATCCTAGCTCACTTACATACTTTGCATACAAACACTATCTCAGGAGGGGATGGAGGGAGGGAGACGATAGATAGTGATGGCCATGGACATGGTGTGGAGAATGGAAAAGAAACTGAAGATGATGGAGTTTGAGATTTATTTATTTTTTTTGTTGGTGACTAACTGAGATGGAGTTCAGTATATTTTTATAGTCTTTAGCAGAAAAATAAAAATAAACTATGTTTTGATTAATCAATGTATTTTATTCATCTATTCACTAACTTTATTGCTTTTCTTGAGTCGTTTCTATTGTGTACAGGCTTACAGCACTTGCCAGACTTAAAAAAGGAAAGTCCCGCAATCTTTACGCTAAGATAAGCACCCCACGAGCTTCTAATGGCAAAATTTGGGCCCTCTCTTGTTTCACATTGATCACCCCATCTTTCCACGAAGAAAAAATAGAATAATATTTTCTTTCATCTCGTATCTGATTGAAAGATATCTTCTCCAATCATACTCTTAATTGGTGAGTTACAAGTTATAAATATACACATACAAATTTAAATAAAATTAAAATGAGTTTTCATCCATACTCGTGACTCATGTTGAAGGGAACTCCCTTCAACTGGATTGGAGGAAAACTTGACCAGAAAAAAGGAATAATAATAAGGGTTACATTTTACTCCATTTGTTAATGGAGAAAACGTCCTTCAACCATTTGTCTAATTACTTGATTACAAATCATGTATATCAGCCAAGTACATCAGACAAGTGTAAACTTAATTCGAATTAATTTTAAGTCATGTCCATGTTTGTGACATATCAATCATAGATATGATTAGAGGAAATTTCTTCTAATTAGATATGGAGTAAAACATGACTCAAAAGACTATAATTAATCACTTTAGCTCATTGCCGAAACAAAACTGTACCTTGGTTATATTATTAGTAGTTTGGATTGACTTTTAGCTTTTATTTTTACTTAAACTAAATCTTGTGGCACACGCTTTTAAGATTATTTAAATCTGAAATTCTTGAAACTTTCATAACAGTTGTATATTAACACATAAATTCACATATAAATTTTTTTATAATAATTCAAAATTTGAACAGCATTTAAGATTTTGACAAGATTTTTCACTTTTACTTGATATATTGAACTCAAACAGATCAACCAAGATGGTAAAAAAATTTACTTTACTCATACAAACAAGTAACTTTTCAATATTCAACAGTTAATTGACGCTATCTCTGTGCGTAATATGTCATAGGAAAATAGTTTCTTGTGATAGCCTGGTCCTAATGTGAATGTTTCCCCACAAGGACGTCAGGGATGTTGATACAAACTAAATTAGATTTTGATGAAAAACTATATGTGTTGAATAAGATTCGCGCGCTACCGCTCTATTAATTAAGTACTTCTATTAATGACTAAGCCCATTTAAAGCTAATTGGGTCATCACAAATGGTATCATAATAGGCAAATATGGTTGATCATCGGGGAATAGGCCAATACCCGGTCCATTGAGGGTGGGAGTTTGATCATTAGAATGAGGGGGTTCGGGGAACATGCGGCTTTTAAAAGACTCTAGGTTGGAGGAAGGAGCAGAAATGGACCGAATCACGCATGAAATTGAGGAATTATTGCTAGGTATATGTGTCAATAGCGTCAAAGACGTTAGCCCTTTAAATGGGTGGCTTATGACATTCCAAGTCCCACAAAGAAAGAGAGAGACCTTCATAGGCAAATCTTGCCCCCAAATGGTCACCGTCTTGTGTATTTACTTGACTACACCTTTTTTAGACTTGCCAAGTAGAATGGGTCGGGTTTTTACGATGGTATTAGGTGTGTTTTTTCTGGATGACCTAATCTCATTCACGATCCAAAGATGGTGGAAGATCGCTAAGGCAAGAGGCCAAAGACAATGTACGACTGTCGACAAGTCTCTAAAAATAGCCAAAGGGACAAGAATGATCTGAATCACACATCGGAAGTTACATTTTGAAGAACATCAATGCTTTTAATAAGAGAGTTTTTGGTGTCCTAAATCCTGATTATGGGAAATGCATTGATTCATAAGTAAAACCCACCTTTAAATAATCACTTAAGTATTTTTACGAGCTCGACCTTGTGGAACTGATTGGATCACTACAACGAATAGTCCCGTAAAAAGAATTACCACCTTGAGCGATCATTTGATTACTTTTAAGAGTTTGGTCAATGTGAAAGTGCTGTATCATTTTTGTATGGAGCTTACATCATTGACGTAATTAAGCATAAAGGACAGAAACATAGTAATTGAATGCACATGCAATCAATTTATTTATGAAAACTCAATGGAGGATGCCGATATAAAGCCGGGGGGACTCTAGCCGTTGTCCTAGTTTTAGGTGAAGTGAAAAGCCTCATAAAATACTCCAAGAGAATCACTAGTAACTCCATCATGTAGCCTCCTCCGACTTCATATCAAAGGTTAACTTTCATCTATATACAAATTCAAGAATGTCGAAATTATTTTCTAAACTTCGAATGGACCACTATAGCAATCAATTTTATGCTTTATTTGATTTTGTTAATTTTCTGATCTAGGTCATATGATAATTTTATACCCGGAAGTCCTATAGTAAGAGGCTTCTGAGCCATCAGTTCATCAATGATTTTAACCCAAGAAAGTCACTTTACCTACAGTATCCCCTATTTGCAATTGCAACGGTGTTTCTTGAATTGTCGCCACATGTAATGTTGCACGTGTTTAAGAATCGTGTAGAGAAGAATCTGACATTGAATCCATAGAATTCAAAAGAGTAATTTCCGTATCCAATCACCTCCCAACTATTAAATTTTGTAGTACATTTGATCAGTTAGGCTCAGACAACTTCCATTTTGGGATCTCTCATTGTGATGGCTTGGACATTGACTGCTTACTAGCTAATGTATCATGTAAGAAGGGCCCTGGGACCGGTTTCAAACGATTGATCTATCTCAAACACGAATAGACATAGCTGAATTATACCCGAACTCGATCGAAACCCCAATAAAGTTCTTAAATGGCAATCTCAGATCGACTCGTTCAAACAATTGGGACTTTGAAAATCACCCAATTGCATTTCTTTACTGTGTATCTTTGAATTAAATATTGATCAGTACGAAATGCATGTTAAATAATGTTAAAACATGTTGTAATCAGTATTTAATAAAGTTACCTTTATCATCTTGTGTCTTTTGCAAAAATAAGGGCAGATTTAGCAAAGATTTGTTGGGAATCCCACCTAATGTTATGTTTGTCGTCAGTTTAATTTTACATCCGTCCTAACTATTGTAAAGTTTGTATGCATGAGATCCAAAATACTGTTAGGTTTGGGATGAGTCAAAACTCGATAAATGCGATGGCTTGCCATTCCTAGTATGTCATGCCATAACCATAAAGTCAACCAACGACCTCTTTTATGTGTATTTATTCCACCTATCAGAAAAGTCAAATAAAAAACCTAAAACCATACGGAGAAACGAAGTGGATACTTTAATACCCTCATTCACGCGCAAATCTTACTGAGAACAGCATGTGAAATTGACAAACCAAGAGCCACGAACATGAAAAGAACCTGGAGCAGAACTTGATCTATTACCGTGTTAAACAACCCAATACAAAAACTTAAATTATAGGATATAGGGTGGGAGGAGGTTCTATGTATGTAAGGCCCATTAAGCTTGCTCCGTTGGTTTTATGAAAAATGAATGATTTGAAAAATATTTTCCTAAAAATAATTGCTTATATTGCTTGCGAAAACGACTGAAAGAAAAATATTTCCACCGTCCACGAAAATATTGAAATATAAATTATTGTCGATAATGAAAACATTTCCATCGGTTAATTATTTCAAGCGATCATTTTTTAGGGAAATGTTTTCCAAAACGTTCATTTTCCATCAAATAAATTGAGCCTTAATAGACAAGCGACTTTCAGATAGTTTAACACCACCGGGTGGGTAAGGAATCATCTTATTAATGGGTACTCTATCAACATAATAAATTAGAAAGAGTAGGGAAAATGTGTTGCGAAAAAAAAATCAGATTCGTCTTTCCGCGGATTTCGACTGAGATTCGTTAGAAAGAAACAAACAGTCGGAGAGGCTTGAAGATTAGGAGTAAATAAATAGTACAAATAAACAAAAGGGGCTAAGGGAAGGCAGATTTGGAAGATGCCAATGCCTTTTCACGGTGGCCGACACGATTCTAAGTGTCTCACACCTCCTAAACCACTTGATCAAAATCGAGAAGTGAATATCATATGCAAATTGTTTGTCCCAAAGTGAAGAATTGAATTTTAAATGCCAAGGGCACGAGTGATGAGCAGAAACTGCTCTCTAAACTTCTTGATTATCTTGTGTTTTCCTTTTCTTTTTGCTCAAGTAGATGTTGCAAATGTTAATTGAAGTGCGAAATGTGAGATTGCAACACGTTATTGCACATTTTTATTCTTTATAAACATAAATAATTGGTCAACTTATGAGATGCATGCACAAATTAGTTTGCACGACATAAGTTTGGTTCTTCTCTCACCAAGTGAACACGGTCTCATATTTGAGCTTTACCTTTATTGAACTTATATTTATCTAGATCTATGATGTTAATGTGGATACTTAACAAGTGTAAGGTTATGTACTTAATATGGGATTCCTAGATATTAAAAAATCATTCAAAGAATAATTCCAATGTTATGGTTTCCAACTTAATTTTCTGTGATAGAAAAATTTGAAGTTCAAGATCATAAAAAATTACTGTTAGGATTGTGTTTGGTCGCTAGATAAAAATGTACAGTTGTGGCTGCATAATGTTGGCAACCACCTTGCAACGGTGTTAGTCACAATAAGCAATGACCACAGACCGTGTCGGTCTAGGCACAGAACGAGTCTGGACCCGACACGGCTCTTAACTTGGATGGATCTGGGTTGCACCAGACTCTTAGGCCCAAATGGATTGGCTCGGGTGGTCCCTCACTCTTAGTGGCCGTTTTGTCACTAGACTCGCTAGTTGCTACTTAAAAAAAAGAAATTTAAGCGGTTGAATGGCCATTGACCGAATTAAGTTTCTTTAAGAAAACTTATATAAAAAAATTATTTATATGAATTCTAACTCCTCTCATTTTCACTTTCATCCATTTCTCTTTATT